ATTCTATTCATTTATTCTCCCATCCTTTAAAATATGTACTAATGTACTTCTTTTATAATATTTGAAATATATCTGCACTATAGTGCATATAATTTTGAAAAGAAAGAAACTTCTTGGAGGATGGATATGCATGAGCATGTTGAGGATGAACTAGGGAGTTGATCATTTTGGAGAATGTTACATAGCATTAGAGAGTTTACACAGAGTGGTAACAATGTAAACTTTGGAACTTGCAAAAGGAACTTTTGTAAAGCTTTTCAAAGCCCTCCCCCCAAAAAGAAGACTGTTTTTAAAAATCTACCAATATAACATTTTGTTGTGTTTTGTTTTGTTTTTTGCCGATAAAAGGCTATAAAGCACCGCTCTCGACTAGAAGTCAGGAGCACCTGGAATTTGTTTAAACTGCAGATTCTCAGACCTAACACAAAAAATATTCTGATTCTGGAAGTTTGGGGTGAAACCAAAAACTCCAGTTTTCTGAGAGATTAGTTGGGCAGGGTTTCTCAGTCTCAACTCTAGTGACACATGTTCTGAGCCCCAGTTCTTTGTTCTGAGTTCTGAGCCCCAGTTCTTTGTTCTGAGTTCTGAGCCCCAGTCTTTGTCATGGACGTTGTCCTATCCCATGCATTGCAGGGCGCTTAGTCACTCGATGGATACCAGGGCACACACCTGACCCCTGCTCTGACTACCAAACGTGTGTCCAGATACTGTGGAATGTCTCGGAGGGGGCAAAATCTCCAAATGAGAAACAGGTACAAAAGCTTTCCAAAGATGACAAATTTTGAGAAATGCCATCCTTACTCAAAAGAACAAAATAGTAATGATAAAAGTAGACTCTAGATTATCTATAAGCATGAGTATATAAATTGAAACAAACAGGGCTCCCAAAAGGAAAATCTTATTAACCACTATAAACTTCTGACAACTCAGCTAAGCTTCTAAGTCAAAGCTCTTCTTAGGCAATTTCAACTTGATTCTCTCCCTAGCTTCTATTTTAGATTATTTTTAATTAACTTCTCTGGCATTTTGCATCCTGCTATGAAAAGTCCGCCTAATAGTCTCAGAGGACTCTCCCAAGAGAGAAGAGTGCATTAAATCACACATTATCACATTAAAGTATATTCCAGCACTCAAGAGTCCAACCGGCTACATCTTGGCAAATGCAATGGAGTGGGGGTTGGGGAGATGATACAGGGATGGGAAGAGGCTCAAGATTCACGATATCCAAAGCCTATCGTCTTCAATGCATCCATCCCTAGAAAAATGTTGGATTGATTCTCCACGTCCACTGCATTTATCATAATCACATGCATTTTATAATTTGAACTTCCACCCTTATTTCTTGCTACAGACTGGGGATGCGACCTTGTTAAATCACTTAAATTCTTTGAGCATTTTTTTT